TTTTTTTTTTTTTTTTTTTTTTTTTTTTTTTTAAGGGCGACGACCTTGAGATATCTTCATTCGACTGACCGGCCCCAGGTAATTAAAAAAATAAGTGACATCATTAAACTTCGGTCTGTGCTTTAACAGTTCGTTGGGTGTGTAGTACTGTGTACCAACTGAGCTTCCCCCGTTGGTATGCCGTCATTGTTTTCCCGCCATGCTGTCACTTTCTTTTCCCCTATGCTGTCATTTTCTTTCCCGCCAAGTTGTCATTTTCTTTCCCGCAATGCTGTCATTTTTTTTTTTCGCCCACGGAGTTGCTCAGGTGGGAAGTATGCGATCCGTGAACGGGTTGGATTGGATTGGCTGACATTCAATCGATGACGGCGAAGTGAATACTAATTAACGTTGATTGATTGGACTATCAGTCAGCTAATCACGACCCCAATACGATCAGCCTATGAGTTGACAGAATGATTGATTGATTGATTGGTTGATTGATTGATTGATTGATTGATTGATTGATTGATTGATTGGTTGGTTGGTTGATAGGACCAATCGATGGGCAGATTGATTGGACCAATCAAGGGACAGCTCGATTGATTGGTCGTTCCAGCTACAAGAAAGAGAAGCGAACAAAACACAGAGAGAGAGAGAAGAAGAAGAAGAAGAAGAAGAAGAAGAAGAAGAAGAAGAAAGAAGAAGAAGAAGAAGAAGAAGAAGCAAGGAGGAGGAGGAGGAAGGAAGCAGAAGAGCAGCTCTGGCAAGGAGAGAGATCGCGCGGCGGGAGGAGGACAGAGAAGGTAGAACGAGGAGCAAGTGGAAACAAAACACAGAGAGAAAGAGAAGAAGAAGAAGAAGAAGAAGAAGAAGAAGACTAAGGAAGGAGAAGAGCAGCTCTGGCAAGGAGAGAGATGGCGCGCAGGGAGGAGGACAGAACACAGGAAGGCGAGGAGGGGACACGCAAGGAAGGACAGGCAAGCTAAAGGGAGGGAGGGAGGAGCTGGAGAGTAGGAGAGGAAAAGGCGAGCCGCGGGGGCAGATGCGTCGCAGTTAAAGCCCGCAAAGCTCCTACACACAGATCAACAATCAACCGCCGTCGATTTCAGAGAAATCAGTCAAGGAAAGGAGTAGGGAAGCCCATGCCGAAGCAAGATTAGATGGAGAGCCATAGGAGGAGGAGAAGAGAGGAGGAGGGAGGAGAAGGAGGAGGAGAGAAGGAGGGAGGAGGAGGAGGAGGAGAGATACAACTACTCGAAATACTGGTAATGGTCCTGTTCGTCTTCGTAGACGAGGACGACGAGGGGGAGGGGGAGGAGGAGGAGTAAGAGGAAGGGGAGGAGGAGGAGAAAGAGGAAGGGGAGGCCGAGGAGAGGAGGGAGGGAGGGAGGAGGGAGGAAGCAGCAAAGCAGAAAGATGAGATCGAGGACAAGTGGGGAAAGAAGGGAGGCACAGCAAGAGGTGGAGAAGGGAGGACGAGGAGGAGAAAGGAGGAGGAGGAGAAAAGAGGAGGAGGAGAAAAGAGGAGGAGAAAGGAGGAGGAGGAGAAGGGAGGAGGAGGAGGAGAAAAGAGGAGGAGGAAGAACATGACGAAGAGAGAGAAACGAAGGTAAGGCGATGACGGCGAGGGCGATGCTGACCAGGATGAGGCAGATTGAGCACACTCTCACACTGTCAGCACGATTACGATTTGCTTTTTTTTTTCCCGTTATTTTAATTCGACGTCACGATTTCCAATTGGACACGTGTCACAACCTGGTCTACAGATCGGGATCTTCTCCAGCTTCAATTGGCCGCCAGCTGTCCTATTGCTCCGATTTCGTCGTCGTCGCTTGCGTCGAGCAGGTTGTGACACGTGTCCATCCGCCCTTCCGCCATAGCCGGTTTTAAGAGCACGTGTATGTTGTGACACGTGTCCATCCGCCCTTCTGCCATAGCCGGCTTTCAGAGGACGTGTATACGTGTGTCCGCCCTGCGCTGCTCTCTGCGATGCGTTTGTGCCGAGCTTCGCGCGCAGGAGGTTTCTCCAGCATATGAAGCGCAAAATAAGAATGAATCATCCTCCAAAATGCGGGAAGATACACCGCCACATCTTTTGTCCCTTGTGCATCAGATGAGCAGCGGTGAGCAGCGGAGCGAGACGCAAAGAAAGGGAAAAAACGAGGAAGAGGGACAGAGTTTTGTCCCTTGTGCTAATCTTCTCTGTATCCACGCATAAATTTAAAAACAAAAATAATAATAGTAATAATAATAATAATAAAAGAGAGTTACGGTCGTGGATTGCGGTCCTTCAATTGCCACCGTGCCGTAGTACCACTCGCCATCCGCCAACATTTCGCATGCATCTAGACACGAAGGCCTGCCCAGATACATTAACAGTCTTGGCGGATGGGGAGTGGTGGAACTACCGGTAGTGCTTTGGCCTACGTGCAATTCTATTGTAATTGTAGTAGCGCAGTGATCCCCAAGGTGTCGCCGGGTTATTTTTTTGTTTTTCCATTTTTCAAAGGACTAATTTGCAAAATACCATCATCGGTTGAGGTATATGCCAAAATGGCCCCTGAAAGATGTGGAGGGAGCGGACTGCGCTTTTGGGCCAAAATCTTTGTGTTGTGCCCCTGTCAGGTTGGTGTGCAACTTTGCAATCTGGACCTCCCCGTTTGGGCCTTGCCTTTTGCAATAGCGCCTAGGAGAAGTTGGCAATTACTACTGGGGCATTTCGCAAAGTTAATGGTACCCGGTAGGGATATATTGCAAAGATAGGGGTCCAACCGACGCCAGGGGTATTTCACAAAAAAAGATTGTCACAGGGCCATTCCGCTCGACCCACATCTTTTAGGGGCATTTTGGCATATATCTCAACATATGAGGGTATTTTACAAATTACCCCTCTTTTAACTACACTGTTCTTCTCTCAAATTCTTTTTGCCTTTCACCCACGCTATGCGCAGGGACGCAGCCAGGACAACTAGTCGGGGGAGGACGGCGGAGTTGGCAGGTTTGGCAAGCAGGTCAGCTTCGCAATGCATATAAGGCAAAAAAACTGAGACAAAAAAAAAAAAAAAAAATCCTCACAGTCGTCGGCCCAACGACACCGTAAGAAACAAATACATGCCCACAGCCGACGTCCGTTATGCAATGTCTACCACCAGATACATCAAGGAAGACGTGCCAGCCCTGAAGGCATACTCACGCTACCTTTTTCAAAGTGCATCCGGCTGCAATTACGGCCCCACCTGAAGGCATTTAGCCACAATCACGTTCATAAAGAACTAAAAAAGTCCTTATGTAAGTATGCCCTAACACCGCCAACGTCCCCTGACCTTCTCGCACCCAACTTCTACACAGTTGTATCTGACAGGCGTCGTTTCGGTGACACCATAATGGTTCTTTCCGTAAAAAACAGGCAGATATGTGTCCGTATTGGTCGTCCCTTATGCACGTCCACGGATAACTTACTGGAATTGTATTAACTAATTTTTGTCTTCACATTGCTCTACAAGACACTTATTATATAGTAGCACACTTTCATTCCTATGAGAGTCCAATTTGCTCTATTTGCAAGATTCTACTATTGGATAGGAAAAATCTTCGGACTTCAATGTAAAAAAAACTTAGGTCAAATTCATTTTTGGATTACTTTCTTTGGCGTGAATTTGATTTTTTTTCCTATGCATTTCTTACGTCTGTGGGCATGTCATGCCGCATTCCGGATTATCGAGACGCTTATGCCAAATGAAATGCACTGAGTAGTTTTGATTCTGATCTTTCTGTTGTAGGAAGTTTAGTTTTTTTTGGGTACATCAACGAAAACGTATAGGCCTTACACCTAAAACCACCTGCCCATCCGAATTCGTACATTCCCCCATTCCCAATTTTTTTTTTTTTTTAAAGAGACCCTACACATCGTCCCCACAAGACAAGACGACGGGCCCACAACATACCTAGACAAAAAATCGCAACACGATTCATCGGAGTACCCTGCACGAAGATCAACCCACCCCAAAATTTGCCCCCACCCACCACAAATGTACCCCAACATCATCCCAAGAACCATTAAAGAAGGGGGGGGGGGAAACAAAAGAAAAAAAACTTCCCTGAAACAGAAAAGCCCGGTCCCCGCCCAGCGACATCGAACGACCTAAACACTCGACCGTCAGTCGTCCACGCTCCAAGCTGTACAAGGACCGCTACCCTTACCAATCTTACTCCTAACGCCGACCGCACCCTAGCCTAACCCCTAAAACACCCCATTTCCAGCCCACTGTACCGCACGACATTTCCGAAGAAAAATGCTTTGCAGAACAACGAACGACAATCGGAATAGACACAACCATCCTGGTTGTGAACTACTCCTAGGACTATAAAGAGGGGACCCCGGCAAGCATAAAGCCTCGCAAATGACGTAAATCATGTTGCCCACGGCCCCAACAATGGTAGTCAGAGATGGGGTGGGGTTGCTGGTGGGGGTCCGGTTACCGGAAAGACCGAGCATTTTACCAGTACTTGTGCCTCTCTTTCTCCCCATTCTTTTTTTCTTACAAAATTGTTGAAATACCCTTAGTAGTTTAGGTTAGATACCCCTAAAACACAGGGGTACACTAATATGCCCCGGATTTCCGCATTTGTCTTCTTCCCACTCATAGGTTATTTCGCCATATGCCTTGGTCCTGGGCTGCAGTGGCCCGTGCATTACTTTTCCCATCTGCAAGGACCAACGACGAGCAATGTCAGGGCATATAGACAAGTTTTCCATGGCGTGGTTGGGGTATATGCAAAAGATAACAGGTGCAATTGGCCAGTGAGGTATTTCGCAAAGTTTCATGTCTATAGTCTTTCACTATTGCCTGACGAAATATTCAAACTTTCATATGCATTTCAATATTTATTTATTTATTTTCCACCTAGGCTATCGAAGTGGCCTGGGTCCACTTACCCAGTCGTGCCAACAAAAAATAAAAAAAATTAAAAAAAAATAAATATATATATATATATATATATTTTTGGTAAAAAAATTGATTTGACGATTAGACAAAAGTTTTTCATTATATTTTTCTGCATAACATACTAGGCTACCAGCCGGGCCGCCCGGGTCCCGGTGTCGGGCCTGTCCGCTCCCTTCTCTTCGCCCGCTACTCCCGAGGGGCGGGGATACCGATAGCGCGAGGCTATGAGTACGGAGCCTCCCCTTCTGACGAACCTGGTGCTAGGAGCCGACGCGCTCCCGAGTTAGGTGCTACTCGGTTGCCTGCCCAACACCCATTAGCGGCCAGCGGGACCGACTACTTCGAACCGTGAGGCCCTTGGTGTGCAGACTGGACGTTCTGTCCGAGACCGCCTAGAAGACTGAGGGCTAGACACATTGAAACTGGGTCTCGGGCTTACCCGCGCGCCTAGTGTTGGTCCGGTACTGGAAAAATGTTTGTCTTCCCGGGGGCGGACGCACCCAACAATCTTATCGGGCTCGAGTTTCCCAACTCTTCACGCGGTCTGACGATGTCGCTCGGGTGGAGGCGAAGGTTCCCACCTCGAGCTTAACTCCTCATAACCTTGCTGTTTCAGTAAGTACTATCCACCCCTCCCCCTTCCGAAGGCGAAAGTCGGTAACCTTCTTACTTATATCGAGAACAAAGAGAGGCCCGAGAGCCCGGACTTGGACGGCCAAGCAATGTAAAAGTCTGAAACAAATGAGGAAAATGGCCTCCCACGTTCGGGGGAGCACAAACCTTCACAGTGGAGCAAGCATACAGTCAAACGATTAAGCGAGCGTGACCCCAGACCGCGAGTGGTGCATGTCAACGACAGCGAAAACTTGACCAGAAAACGACGAGTGGAGCATAAAACGCGAGCCCAGACAAAAAGACAAGCGTGACTTCAAAATGACACGTGAAGCATTGCCTTAAATAACGGAGAGAGTTCAAACCCCAATATCGGGGAAGCAAGAACGAAGGAGAAAACAGCACTGGGGGAGGTCCAGAGGTGCTTGAGCACTGATCCGAAATAGCTCCGAGCTCGCCGTTCGGAAGCCAAGCGCTGTCGCGCCGAGGCCAACTGCAACCGTCCTTTCCCGAGTATGAGCTCGCGGGGTCCCCCCCTTGACCTTCAGTCGGCACGCGTAAAACCTCCGAGGACCAGGCGCAGACGGCGGACCCGGCCTGGAGCACTGACACGAAGACCGAAGTACCTCTTACTTGTCGCACGCTGCCGACAATTCTACGATGCTCCCTTGTGGACCTGCTCGGCGGGCCTCCGGCTGCCTCGCCGCTCGCTCCTCACGCCCTCTCCCTCTCTTGTGGTCTCTCTCTCTCTCTCTCTCTCTCTCTCTCTCTCTCTCTCTCTCTCTCGCTCGCTCGCTCGCTCGCTTTCTCTCTCAATCTTCTCTCTCTCTCTCTCTTTTCTCTCTCTCTCTCTCTCTCTCTCTCTCTCTCTCTCTCTCTCTTGTGTTTGCCCCCGTTGTTCCTTATGCAGCGACCGCGGGTCCTTTCTCTCTTTCTCTCCCGTAGCTGCCCCTTCCAACAACCTTCGTGTAGCGGTCGCAGGTCTTCACTCTCTCTCTCTTTCCTGCTCTCGTGGTCGCCTTGTCGTCCCTCATGTGACGAGCGCCGGTCTTCACTCTCTCTCTCTCCCTCTCTCGTGGTCGCCCCGTAGTCCCTAGTGTAACGAGCGCAGGTCTTCACTCTCTCTCTCTCCCTCTCTTGTGGTCTCCCCGTCGTCCCTCGTGTGACGAGCGCAGGTCTTCACTCTCTCTCTCTCCCTCTCTCGTGGTCGCCCCGTAGTCCCTAGTGTAACGAGCGCAGGTCTTCACTCTCTCTCTCTTTCCTGCTCTCGTGGTCGCCTTGTCGTCCCTCATGTGACGAGCGCCAGTCTTCACTCTCTCTCTCTCCCTCTCTCGTGGTCGCTCCGTAGTCCCTAGTGTAACGAGCGCAGGTCTTCACTCTCTCTCTCTCCCTCTCTTGTGGTCGCCCCGTCGTCCCTCGTGTGACGAGCGTAGGTCTTCACTCTCTCTCTCCCTCTCTCGTGGTCGCCCCGTCGTCCCTCGTGTGACGAGCGCAGGTCTTTCCTCTCTCTATCTCCCTCTCTCGTGGTCGCCCCGTAATCCCTAGTGTGGCGGGCGCAGACCCCCTCTCTCTCTCTCCCCCGTAGTTGCCCCGTCGTCCCTCGTGTAACGAGCGCAGGTCTTCACTCTCTCTCCCTCCCGTAGTTGCCCGTCGTCCCTCGTGTAGCGCACGCACCTCGGCCTTCCCCACACACACCTCTCGGGCGAACGTCGCAACGGAGTACTGCCCGAAGATACTAGAGCGGTCGCTCGTGCGCGCGTACATACGCAGTTCTCGTGCGCCACCCCTCTCCCTCCTCTCCCCCTCTTTTATATACTTATTCCCTTCTCCCGTTTCGATCTTCTTCCCTTGCAGCTCTTCCTTTTTGCTCCTTCCTTGTTTTCCCCGCCGAAATTTTACCAAATTTTTGTTTTTACTTTCCGAGCTTTCGCCAATCTCCCGCCGAGCTTCAAACTTTGCTCCTCCACCCTTTCAAGATCGCACTTCCTGCGCAGCGATCCCACCTTCCCCCTACCTCACCCAATCATAGCGATTTCTTCGCCTACCTGCGGATTCGACGCCCTCCCGGTACGCTTTACTTTTCCCGTCCGCAAGCCAGTATCCTTCTGCTGACGAACATCGTCCGTTCACCTCTTCGCGCACCCCCGACCATGGATTTAACGTTCCCGACTCCTTGGCCGTTGGTCTCCCTTCTCACTACCGCTCCCCCTGCAGTGGTTTCTCTCCTCTCGTATCAACGAGTCCCCGTCCGCGCTCGTTCGGCTTCCTCTCTTACTCCTTCCAGTCGTATAGCGCTTGCACCTGGTTAGATTACCGACCAGGTACAAAGTTTCCCCGCATTAATCCCTTACGCCAACATATTTGTCGATTTTCCTGTCCTCCCGCCCGTCTTCAGGGTAGCCCGCCGTTCTTTGCCTCCTCACTAGCCATTCGCGGGAGCTAGGCCCCCGGGTGCAGGCTTTCGCCTTCTCAGATTTCCTCCAGATGCTTAGCCAATTTCCCGCCGTCTCACCTCTAATCTTTAGTTATCAAGAACCGACTCGGGACGGTTCTTGCCAACTATTTTCCCYGGTCTCTTTGTCGAGTTTTYCCGCACGTCCAGYTKTCARTGCTCTTCGSGAGCGCGCACGCCCCTGTAGACATAGARAGATCCTTCCTCGGTAGCRAGGTAGTGTTGGTCTGTTAGGCCAATWTCCCGGCTTGGGGGWKACAGCACCGCATCCYTRAAGACCCGACCTTTYGGAGACCCGATGATTCAMTCGCCGRGCGCGACCGTGATTCTTYCCGGCAGTCCGTTTTTCTWWGAGAACCGATCCCGYCKACTCCGAGTGTCCGCACCCCTGTTACGYGAAGCCGATGTTCCCCTAYGCCATACTTACCCCGTCTCCCATGTCTCCCCGAGGTMTTTCCCTCCCCCCATGYCGCCTTTCTGATCTAARCCTKGACCCCACGGTCGCCRGCGYCCGGTTGTCCAATCCGCTTTATCGTGCAGCAACTGCMAGGCTCAGTCACCGTCCTGCAACGCACCCGGGGAAACACCATAGCTCTGCTGGTAAGGAACCCTTMTTTTGCCCTGTGTGGGCACCAACTCTTCCCCCAGACGTGCARCCATCRCCATRTGGCRTCTTCCTCGTGTTGCTGTAGGCGCCTTCAYGTGTGGTCRTARCATCCGAATTGYGCCGGTTTTCGTGGCATCTCCCCCGATCTCYAGGTACCGTCGACCAGGCAGGGTACGAGCAGACCCCGCCACGTTCCTCCGTGGTAGAMCCGTGGTCATTCATAACCTAGGTCCCGGACCTTAATTGGCCGCCTGCTTCTGATYTGATCAAGGCCTATCCCGATACAATCCGCCCGTACCGCATTCTYCGATTCTGTCACCCGAAACTTCARTCTTTATGATCTGCCTRAGCCCGCTTGCGACCAAGGTTCRGACCGTCACTCCAGCSAATCGAATGGTTAGTACGAAGACCCGGATGCCCGAGGTCATCCACAAGCATCATGTCCACACGCACGCACATGTCAAAACCAAGCAAAAACTGCTAGAAAAAAGAAAAAATTGGTATTCATTTCAAAGAAAAAACCCTTCGGCTGGTAGACAGCCGCCCGACAACCAGCCCACACCCCATTTCTCGCCGTCCCCGGTGAGCATTTCCCGACATATTTCCCCTCCCCTTATTTTAGTTCATCCCATTTCCCCTGGCTCCTGGTTGCTCCTTCCCTTTCACCGTACACATGTCCCTTGATGCCTATTTTTCCCTAACTATGCCTGTTTTCCCTAACTATGGTACAAAGTTTCCTTTCGAGTCACAACATATCGCACTTTTCCGACTCGCCCTTCCCTTAACTAAGGTACATCCTCCCCTCGGTCCTCCGACATATGTCCCACTCTAACTATGGTACAATCACACTCCCTAGGACTAACTCACATGGCCCCTTATGCCCGTCTCTGTCTCCTCTTCCTCTTCTCGTGTCTTTCTTCCTTCCGTTTCTTTTCTCCTTTTTCCCGTCTGATTCTCAAGGCTTTCCTTGAGGCGCTCTTCCTCTCTCTTAGCTTGCGCTTCCTTAACCGGTCGGTGTCACCGTCTTCTTCTCTAGGCCTTTCCTTCTTCCTAGGGGTCTTTGGTAGGGAAGGCTTCCGAACCTTGTACCCCTTCCTCGGTGGGCGAGACGAGGCCCCTTGTCTGGAGGTCTCTCCCCTTTCATGAGTGATGGTCAATTCCGTGTCAAGCTCTTCCTTTCCTTTCCGTTTCGCCTCCTCCCCAAGAGTCCCTCTCGATCGGAAGATTTTGAGACGAGCCCCTGCGATAGGGTCCCGTAGCCTACTCCCATCCAATTCCGCGAGAATATAGGCCCCCCCATCCAATCTTATTAGGACCTTATACGGCCCCATCCATCGGTTCGCCAATTTTCGGCTCCAGGTCTTTTCTACTGACGAATCGTACATCAGTACTAGGTCGTTAATCCCTATTGGCGCCTTTCGGACCCTTTGATTTTTGTCCTACCTATCTTTTCCTTTCACCCTCTCTCTCTCGACGTTCTCACTGGCCACAGTTACCCCGGTATCCAAGTTTTCGGCTATCTGCTGTATCCTGGCCTCCAACAGTTCACTCCTAGACATGTTGGTTTTCCACGAGACACTCGTCCAAGTGTCAATGTGGAATTCGATGGGTAGGGGACAATGCCTACCGAACCAAAGGGTGTAAGGAGGGTACCCCGTACTGGATTTGAACGTGATATTATCGGCCCAAACAGCGTACCGCAAATATCTCGGCCACTGTTTCCGGCGGCCTTTGCACCATTTCGCTAGAGCATCCACAAGCGTCTGGTGACCTCTTTCTACCGGTGCATTGCTTTGGGGGTGATAGGCGGTCGTATAGGCCGCCCCTATGCCTGCCTTTTCCAACAACCCTTTGACCGTCTGACTCAAGAACTCTGCTCCCCTACCCATGACTATCCTCCCGACACATCCGTAGCGAGCGATGTACTCCAGGAGAAAATCACTCACCTCTTCCGTCGTCTTCTTCTTAATAGCCTTTGCCTCTACGAACCCCGTGAGGTCATCCCGGGCGTACCGAAGTCCGCCGACCCCTCTCGACATGGTCACTAAATCCACATGGACCTTCTCGCCCGGAACCGTGGGAAGCGATGGAACTAAGGGTTCTTTGTATCGAACCGTCGCCCTTTTCTGGCAAGCCTCACACGTCGAACAGTACTTTTCTACCTCCGTGTATTGACCATCCCACCAATAAAGCCTACGAACTTTATCGAAAGTACCCTTCACCCCCCTATGACCCCCAACGATCCCGTCGTGGAGTTCCTCTATGACCGCCCTCCTTTCCTCTGGATCACACAGTACCCTCATGGGTATTGCAAACTTGGTGGGCCTTTTGAAGAGATGGCCTCCCCGCAGGCAATACCCCAGCGCCTCTTGTTGGATTCTTTCAGTCCCTATTTCCCTACCAGCCAAGTACAGCCCTATGTCTCGGTACTTCCCATCGTAGAGATTTGCGAGAAAAGTCCTCGGTCCCCCTTCTTCCCCTCGGTCGCTCCCTGCTATTTGCGCCCTATTAGTGACGACTTTCATTATCTCCTCTTTGGCCATTGTCACTTCTTCATCCTTAAGCCTAGGCAGGTCCTCCTCACGAATGGGAAGCTGGGACAAGTCGTCCGCGACCTGGTTCTTGGTCCCTGATATCCTCTCGACGCTATAGTCGTAAAGCCTAATGTGAATCATCCAGCGTGCGATGGTCGGATCGGTTAGCGAGAAATCCTTCTGGAGGACCGCCGCTACTGCAGTTGGGTCCACCCTCAGGAGAAATTGTCGCCCGTATAGGTAATGACGGAAGGCCTTTAGGCAATGCAGGACCCCTAACACCTCCTTTTTGAATTGGCTATAATTTCTCTCGGCGGGGTTCAATGTCCGACTCTCGAATCGCAACGGCCTCTCCTTCCCCTCTCCGTCCTTTTGAGACAGGAGGCCCCCCACCGAGTGAGGTCCAGCATCCGTGGACACTATGAACGGGCGACTCTCCTCGTCTTCGAAGAACGAGACTCCTAGGACCTCCCCACCTTCTCGGAACTCCTCCTTCAAAACTTCCATGGCCGCGGCTTGTTCTTCTCCCCAAACCCATCCTTCCGACTTCCTGAGGAGTCTTCTCAGGGGTTCCGCTCTATCTCCATAGGCTTTTATGAAGATTCTCCAGTAGCCCACAACCCCTAGAAACTGTCGGACCTCTGTTATGGATTTGAGTGGCGATGGCCAAGTCATCAACTTTACTAATTTCTCGGGATCGGGCCTCCGCCCCTCCTTATCGCAAATGAACCCCAGTATCTTGATGGAGGACACGCCCCAACGACTCTTAGTCCCACTCACGGTGAGGTTGGCATCATCCAACTTCTCAAGGACGTTTCTGACATCACTCATGTGGTCGGCCACAAACTTTCTCACTCCTGGAAAGACTTCCGTCTCATCCCTTTCGACCGGTCCTTTTATCGGGAAGTCATCCAGGAAAACTTCCACCTTATCCGGTATGAATTCCTTGAGGACGGCGATCATGGCCCTTTGGAATACGGCTACCCCGTTAGTCCACCCCATGGGTACCACCATCATTTGGACCAGCCCTAGAGGCGTATGCATGGCGGTCATATGCCTATCGCGGTAGTCCAAGGAAATCTCATCATACCCCGAAAAGAGTTCACAGATCGAGAATATCGAACGACCTGCCGACCCTTCCGCGAGCAGATCTGCTTCCGGTATCGACCCCACATCCCTTATAGTGACCGCGTTGGTCCTTTGGAGGTTTTGTATCCACCTTAGTTTGTTGCTACCCCCTTTTCTCAGAAAGAACCACTTATTGGAGTATGCACTCTCACAGGGCTCCGCGACGAATGTTCTGATCTTCTCCTTGATAAACGCTACTATCTCCTCTTTCTCCTTTTGAGCGTACTTCCACTGAGGCCTCTCCTTCCAGGGCACGTGCGGGACCGTGTGGATCCGAGCCGGCTTAGCATACCTTGGGTCGATTCTCCCTCTCTCCGAGTCATCAAAGGCAATGGCTTTATCGCAGCCCCTTAAGGTCATCGCTATGAACCCTTTTTCTTCCTCCGTGAGATTTCCATCTCCTATATCTATTTTGGCCAGTCTATCGGCCGTTATCCTTTGCCCTTCTGTCTCTTTCCTCTTCCGGATGATATCGGCTATCTCCTCTTTCGATATTGTAGCTTCCCCCGTTCTATCCCGGCTGACCGCGGCAGGTTTCACTTTCTCCGCCACGGTTTTATGTTTCTTGATTCCGCCGGCTAGGGGGATTCCTCCAAAAAAGACATGCTCACACACCCACCGAATTCCTCCTCCTCGTCCTCCTTCTCATACCCCATACCATTAATCACTATCCTGTCCCCCACGTCCTCGACCTCTAATTGATCCGTCTTGGGTCTTCTATCCGCCAAGGGCAACTCCTCTAGACGGACTTGGCACACCCTCGACTGGCTCCCCTTGCGTCTAGCAAGGCTGGTCCGGTTACGTTCATCTTGTGCGTCTACGGTCTTTAGGACCACTCGGATGCCATCCGGACTTTGGATCGAGAGGGTCTGACTCCCATCCGATAAATCAACCGTGGTTGCATGTACCGCGCTCAGCCAGGTCCTTCTGAGGATCAACTCGGAGGAGCATTCTTTCACCGAAAAGATCGGAACCGTGGCCTCTACCCCAGCGACCTCAATCACGGGGCTATGACACACCCCTTCGGCCGGTTGCAGCTTGTTATCAGCCACTACCATCGACATTGACACCCCTCGATCTATCTCCAAGCCCAGCTCTCGTGCGATGAAGTCCCTGCATACCGTAGACTCGGACCCATTGTCTACCAGAGCCCTCATTTTTTTCCCACTTATCACCGCCTGAAGCTGGCCAGGTAGTTCCTCCAGGGTAATGCGTGAGGCCTGTACTTCTTCCTTGGCTGGGCCTTCCACCAGCACCGTGGGTCCCCCAACGATCGGGACTCTAACCTTCCTTGTGATGCTTAGGAGCTCCTCCCTGGCGCTTTTGCTTGCGGCTAGATATTCCAGAAGTATGCACTGCATAGGCTGCATCAAGGTTCTCCTAAGGGGTGCTATCGTGTCTATCTCATCCAGAGTGCACTTCATTTCGAACTTTTTGGGCCCCTTTTTCTTAGGCGATTTTGGCGAGGCGGGCTCTTCCTTCTTTTCCTCCACCGCTTTCGCATCGGTCATTGGCTGGTCATTGTCGCCGTTTTTTACTTCCGTACTTTCCGTCACGCTTGTTTGGTTCTCGGACGTCTCGGCCCCGACCCGCGTCCTCACCCTTAGGCAGGGCCTCTCTTCCTCGGGCTGGGTATCTATGAACTTGATGCTTGATACTTAGGGTTCCCTAATGGGCAACCCTCCCGGTGACTCCACCATTTGGATGTGAGCAGTGTTGGAGGAGCTTCCGACTTCTGGTTTCTTCCCCAATCTAGCCTCCTGAAGGGCCACCCTTTTGTCCACGTTCACCTTCATCGATGGGTAAAAGGAGACCGCCTCTCCGCTATCTCCCCACACAACCCACTTGTTCTCATTTAGCTTGACCACTCCCAATCTTAAAGCCTCCGTGAGATAAGGGCAGTCCCTCTTGATGTGATTTTCTTCATTGTAGTAGACACACCCGCTTCGAGCTTGGGGATTGTTGGGGCGCGGACCCCCTTGCGCTGTTGTCGTTATAGGCGCAGGTGGAGCCGGGGGCGGCAGTGCTGGTGGTGGCGGCGCCCTAACCTCCGGTTGCGGCCCAGGGGCTCTTGCTTGAGGGGCGTCTCCCTACCTTCCATCCCTAGCATCCTTCCAATAGGACCCCCCCCAATCGGAACCACGATTCCCCCCTATCTCCCGGTCATTCCTCCAACCGCCTTGGCTAATTAATTCGCTCCTCTATCCGGTCGGTCGTTCTCCCCACCAGGGAACAAGTGGACCAAGGGGCGGTCTATTGCTCCCCCTTGGACCATCGTTCCGTGTCCCTCGCATGTTACGGAGAGCCAGGTCCAAGGTCTCCTTCATGTATTCCCTTACGTCTACCCCTCCCCTGTGAAAACTACCTCGACGACTTTCTCGAAATTGGTTGAATCCCTCAGGGCCTTCTCAAGGACCTCCTTCCGCTTTTCCTCAGGCAGGTGCAGCATGAACATCACGCACCTATCTACTTCAGACAACATGCCCCTATCCACTAGGGCCTGAGACAGGCGCTTGAACCTTCGGGTGAAGGCCACCAAGCTCTCTCGTTCCCCCATTGTAATTCGTCGTAAGCCTTCTACGGTCGGGATCAGGTCATCACAGGCGAAAGTCTGCAATAGACTCGCCCTGAAGGTCCTCCACCGGCCGTCTGAGGGGTAGATAGCCCAGATCGCGGTGTCTAACTCGGGGTCCGAGTGCTGAATAAAATAGTCGATCCACTCTCTTTCGGAGAATCTTTTACGGTAAGCATAGCTTTCCCACTTTTCCACGAACCCGGTTACATCTCGCCCGTCGAAGAAAAGCGCCTCGAGACCCAGGTTGACGTCATAATAGGGGACTCGTCGGTCGTCGTATCGGCGAAAATAGGGACCCTCCATAGGTCCATCGGTTGTCGGACCGTATGGCTTGTACCACGAGGGATCAGGCTCCTCCACCCGGCCTCGAGGTCTTGGTGGCTCCCAAGTGTCTTCCCCATAGCGGCCCCGCTCTTCCGGCCAATCCGTCTCCCGTCGAGCGTGGCCCTGCCCCCTAAAGCTTCTCCAGGCCTCCACCCCCTGACTCCTGCCCGTTATCTCGCCGGGAGCCCATGCAGCATCCGCTTCCCTTACGGCCCATCTCCGCGGCCTACTACCAGCCTCCGTCGGCCTCTCGTCTCTAAGGCCCCTTCTACTCGGTCCCCCTTCCTCTTCTCTCCGGGGTGGTCGGTACCCCCCCTTATCTCTTGGAAATTCCAGGGCTTCTCCCATTCTTGCGTCCGGTAAATCCCCCCACCGAGATTCTATAGGAAGGTCCCTCGAGCCCTCAATCGCTCCTTCCCGCGCAGGCATTCGCATCTCGGTGCCAGTTCTCGGCCCCACCAAGGCCTGTCTCTCACTGGTGACGGCCTCCGGAACCCTCTTGACCCATCTCCGCGGCCGGCCGCAGGCCTCTGCTGACCTCCCCTCTCTCAAGTCCCTCCTGTCCTGACATTCTTCTTCCTCTCCCCTAAGTGGTCGATACCATTGTCTATCTCTAGGAAATTCCCGTGCTTCCTCTAACCTTGCTTCCGCATCCATTAGGTCAGCCCACCGGGACTCCACCGGAACGCCTCTCGCGGCTTCGGCTACCCCTTCGTTTACCGGCACCCGCGGCCCCACATCCCTGTGCACTCGCACTTCCGTGCCAGCCCTTTGCCCCTCCGAGGCTTGTCTTTCCCCCGGAGCCATTTCCAGCCCCCCTTTGGCCCTATCTAGCGCCTCCGCCCCCTCTGTCATTTCTTCCACTACCCTACTTAGACTGGCCCGAAAGTCGGGGCTCTTCACTATCCCCCTTCTTTCAGTGGTTTCCGGCGGACTAGGGAGACCAGCCCCCACTTCACTCTCCATGCACCCTTATTGGCAATTTCTCGTCGCTTCCCTCACTATCGTCCGCGTTACTTCCCGGCTCATTTTCCTCACTATTGTCCTCGTTTCCTTCCGAGTTCTTCTCCACCTCCGATCCCCCATTCTCCTCACTAGAATCCTCGTCAACACTTTCTCCCTCTGACTCCTCACTGGTTACCGTCCACCAAGAATCCCTCAGTTTCTTCTCTTCACTGGCGGCCAACGCAAGATTCGCAATCTCTAGGTCCGAGATGCCCCCAACCCCTTCTTGCGCATACCTCCTAATCAAATCCCTGTCCACATCGCCAGCTTGCCCAGAGAACAGAGGCTTGATGAACTCTCCAACGCGTGCCCACCACTCGAAGTCAGTGTCCTCTCTCGACTCCCAGCACTGGGTGTATAGTTCGTGGCCACCTTCTTCACCCAGAGGGAATTTTTCTATCACTTGACCCCTCAATCGAACGCTCCTCACGATCTCGTCGTCAGCGTAGAGTAGTTGATAGGCCCAGGTAGGGATGGTCCAAGTTCTCCCGTGGGCTGCCCTTGGAACTTCCGTCCTCCCTCGGTACTCTACCTTATCAATCACGGTGTTCCCGGTGCCAACTCTCCTCAATCTCTGCACTCGTTCTAGGGTTTTTTCGGCGATGACTAGAGGATTTTTTCCCTCCGCTAATTCAGTTGCGAAGATAAGCCGAGCGTCAGGGGACAAAAAGATTTCCGCCTTCCTCGTGCAACTGTTCCCCTCGGACGCCACTGAGAACCAGACCATTGTTTCCTGCTCGTAAATTTCGAAGAACTCGGTAGTTACCTCTCCTTCCCCTCTAACTCTCGGGAGAGTCACTTCATATCTTTCTCCTCGCGTCAAAACCCTATCCAAGGTACCGTAAGGGTTCCCCCTTTCGTATCTGATCATAGGAGCCTCACCTCACGCCTGCCAACCTCACGGCGGCCTCGACCAATGAATCCTCGCACCTAGCACGGCCGGTCTCTCTGTCCCCTCTCAGAGTTTGGCGCAAAGCCTCCTCGTATTCGCCCGTTCTATCCCAAAATCGGGTCTCCACAAGGTGTGTCCTGGATGTCAGTGGCGTTCCTAGATACCTAGAGTCCTCCTCGAACTTTCTCTCTACTTCCAGCAGAGGCTCCCTCCAAGTCCTAGAGAATCTCACGCCACTCGCGTCTCTAATGTGGACTGAAAAGGTAGCTAGCGTGGTCCAGCTTATCTTTTTCCCCAAGGCCAGCCTTCGGACTTCCACTAGGAATTCTGTCTCGGCGCGGACTACCCGGTCCTCTCCCAATTTCGGGTTAAGCTCGGCACCCCCCTCGATCCTAACCTCGCTACCGTCCTCGTAGGTCTCTAATTCCCAACGGATCCTATTGGAGACGAACGAGACTCTCATCCCCTCACCGCGAGAGAAGATCTATCGTGACTTCGTCGAGGATAGTGATTGTGGCCGCCTCAAGTAGCTTGATCCTGGTTAAGGACCCGGGCCTAGCCCTCCTTTCTTCTTCCCATCACAGAGCAAGAATCCGGTGAACTTCTTCCCTTGCTCTATCCAATCCCACAAGCTCCTCAAGGTCCGACTCGATCATCCCCTAACTTCCATCGACGACACGCAATCGCTATCCGGATCAAATCTGAGGGGTCCAACCCTGCTAGCCCTCCCTCGCAGATCTTGCCTAGGTACCTCCACAATATCTTAGACTCCCTCGCGTGTCGACCCCACCCTTCAAATGCGTAACCTAGGTCCTCTAGAGTTGACCAGTCGTCTCTATAGGGATCCCGAAAACACCACTTTAGTAAGGTGTGAAGGTCTGATCCCGTGAACCTGAACTGACTTAGGATGGAAACCCTTCTTCCTACCGCCTTCCTAACAGCCTCGGAGGGGTAAACCCGCTCAAAAATGAAACGGGGACCTCCACCGGCTCGCTGGAGAGGAACTGCGGTATTTCTTCCCAACCCCCGTAGGTCACTAGATACTCCTCGTCGCACCCTTCGTGAGGTCTCAATTCCTCTACTAACTCCTCTAGCCGGCCTCTCACGGCTCGAGCGTCCCAGAGAGGGTCCTGCCCAAGGCGTAAGCTACGCGCTATCTCAACAAAGCCCTCCTTCGAAAGGGATATTCGGGTTTCCTCAACTACGACCTCCCCCTGGCGACTCACCGCAAATCGTATGAACGCCTTACCGCGCCGGATCTCTCCTTCTTCTAGCAAGAGAGTCCTAGCCGGCTCAGTCAATCGGGCCCTAGGTAGAGTGACACTGATAACCTCTCCGGTATCCTCTACAGGCTCTATGGATGCCCAGAGAGTTCTCGGGATCTTTCTTATCATCGGCCCTCGAAGCCCCTCCAAGTAGCCACTTGCTCTTCTCCGAAGAGGCGGGCGTATGGAACGTCCTCGACAAGGGATCGGAGTCCCTCAAACTCTCTCAATCTCCCAAATAGCGCGGATAGCTCACTCCTTGGGGGGATTCCCGCGTCCACGCACCGAGTATAAAGCCAGAACAAACCCCTAGCCCGCACCTCGGATTCTCGAGCCGTCCTAAGCACCGCTACTACCTTCTCCTCCGGGTTTCTTAGGAAAGAGTTGGCCACAAACTGGGGCAGATTAGCGTGGAGGACCCCGGACGCGCGAGGGACCTCGCCGGGCTCAGCGAAGGACACTAGCATCCATGATTCGAAAGTCCCTTCCTCGTCGTCAGCGAACACTAGATCGTTTGCCAACTGCCTTACGGACTCACGGTATTCAAAATGCGTGAATTGTCCGGTTACCAAGCCCCTCCAGACTTCGGCCCACACCTCTTCGTTAAAAACAATCGTGGCCCGAATCTCCAGGAAACGACCGAGGTCGAGTGGGCCTCCTCTCTCCACACCTTCCTTCCAAGTGAGCCTTCGAGCTCGAACCCACACGTAGGCCTCTTCGCGGATCAGTCCCCCTTTCTCAACGCTCATCCAATAAGGGGTTACTTGAGGGTCTCCCGGAACCAAAACCTTCTCGGTGTCACTGGCCTCTATTGATTCCACCACCCCGTTTTCACTGAGCTCGAACTTCACCATCTGCTATCGTCGTTTTAAAGACCCACCTGCGATATTTTTCAGGAGAGAGAGTGAAGGGCCTTTTTAGAGACCCTAGCCTCCGGAAAATACCCCAGAGTTTTTTGCGCGGCGGAACACCCTGATTGATGCAGTGCGTATATAGTATCCACAAGGCCCTGAAGGTAAGATCCAAACTCCTACCCCTCTCTAGAAGACATACTATCTTTCCCTCGTTTGCTCTAGGGAACAGGTAAGACGGCACTCTCACAGTTAACGGGTAACTTGACCTTGGAAGCTCTCTTTCCCTCGCGAATCTCTCCTTTTCCACGGACACGAACGCAAATCGCTCTCTAAGCTTACTTATCCACTCCCTTCTCATTTCTCTCGCCTCTCGCAACAATTTTTCCAGCCCACCCCCTTGTCCCAGAATTAGGGGTACTACGAGCTTCGCCCAAGCCTCCGGTGATATGAAAATAACCGCGGTTACTTCAAGACTCCGCCTGAAACCTTGGCCTTCTACCTCTTTGGACTCTACCCACACGAATTCCCCACTAACCGTGGACCTCCCTCCTTCTATCCTTTCCCAATCAAGGACTTCCTCGTTGCTAGGGACCAGCCTAAAGGCCTCGCGGTCTTCCAAAGAGGACTCTAAGAAGCATCCCCGCTCTCTATCATGGAACACCAGTCATTTAGAAGATCTTTTGTGGCACCCCGAAGGCTCTTTGGTATCCGTCGTCCCTTCCTCCCTCGCAATCCCGGGTAGATTCCCTAAGGATCCCAGCCTGAATCCTACAAGCCTTGATCCCATATGGCACCGGGTTATCCACGCAATAGGTGTAGTACCAATGGAGCGACCTAACAGAGACTTGCCACCCCCTCTCTCGCACTATGGACCGCATGACCCTGTCGTACCGCTCCTCCTTCCCGCTCACCCTTCGGAAAACGAATGAAGGGAATATGACCCTGACGCACCCTGTGGCGCGGGGGTACTCCTCGTCTCGCGCGCAGGTCACCCTCACCTCAACGGGTGGGCAGTGTCTAAGGGGTTCCGCCTCAAAGATCTGCCTCAAAATCGGACCCGCTCGTGCCTCCCAATGATCCGCACGGTACCAACCTAGGACCAAGTGAGTGACGTAATCGATTCAGGCCTCCTTACTTAGGTAGACAGTTCCTTCCGCACGGATCACCGTTCGCCTGGGTCTCTTCCCGTTCTGGGGCCTATTCCGGGACCACCTGTCCCCCTCCCAAGTTCCTACCGCGAAACGAGCCCAAAGAAAAACCCCTCTTTCTAGCTCTAACCCCCTCTCGCGACCGGCTAGATACCTCTCTGTGCGGTGGTCTAAGGGGATGCTAAAGCACTCCCTGTCTTTGCTTAAATCCGCCTTCTCTACCCGAATCCCTTCTTCCTCAGTACCCTCAACGATCCTAACCATCCCCTTGGACTATCTCTTCTATGATTTGAACCAGTGCTCTCCAATCGTCCGACCCGTCCAGGAAAGCGTCCGGAATAGTGGGGACCGGCCTACCCCCTCGCGGATACGTCCTACACCCTAACGAATAGAAGTAGTTAATCTCGTAAGCCCCCAACAGTTGCCTCTCGAGCTGCGCGTGACCGATCGCTTCCTCCCAGCTATCTAAATATCCAGCCTCCCTATCAACACCCTCTTCCACGTATAAGGCTATGTCGAAGTGTCCTGTCCAACAGTAGAAGGTATAGCACCACACATCTACCCCGCCTATATCACCTACACTAATTCCTGTGGGTTCAAACTCCAAAGGCCTCAAGCTCATGGATTCGCCGCTCCCACTATACGTTCCACAATCCCCACTAGTACTTTCCATTCATCTGATCCATCGAGATAAGCATCCGGAATTACCGGCGTCGGGCGACCACCTCTCGGGGTAGGTTCGATATCCTAGAGAGTAGAAATACTTGTACCCGTAACCCCTCAATTACTCCCGCGAACCGCGGGAGTGGCCTATCGCCTCTTCCCACCCACGAAGGAAGTCCTTTCCTCGATCTTGTCCCTCCTCCACATAGACACCTACATCAAAGTCCCCCGTCCATAGTCTAAAGGAGTAACACCACACGTCAACACTCCCGCACGTACACACACTAATCCATTCTGGAACGACTTCTAGGCTCATGCAGTATAATCAAAGGAAAATTCCCCAAGTTCCTATTTCTTTTTGGCCACTCGAGAGACCACCTCTATCCCGCAAGGAAGAGAAGCCCGTGAGCTCAGAAGGATCAAATGGACCAGAGAAGGAGCGTCGTCTCACTCGGCTACCTTCCTGTCCTCCCCCGCTGAGAGACTCCTCCCCACTCCCGGCCTAGAGACTAGCCGCAGACACAGGTTATCCCCGAGGAAGGGTGGCAACCCCCTCCCCGGAGTCGGACCGAAGTCACACACCCGGGTCCTATGTCCCCCACTGAACCGACCTCTAGTCCTAAGTTAGCCTATCCGGTACCACGCCTCTACTCGGCCCACCTCAAGCGTGGAATTACCCGGGTCCCAGGACAAGATCCACCTACGTATCAGAAATCACTAGCCTATCTACTCCCTCCCCATTCTCCTCATCGTGAACTCTTCGCACTTTGTTCCCTTCTTCCTTTTCCGCCTCCTGCTGCCTCTTTTCTCTCTTGGAATCACCAGAAAATCGGGAAGTCATAAAAATTTGGGGCGGGAATAGTGGAGTTTTAGGAAGAGGCTCTCAGGTTCGGTTGATAAGCATACGTAGCTTGGGTCTTCAATACTCGTTTTCATAATCCCAATAGTCCCCCAGATCTGAGTCTGAGAAATCGGCTAGACACCGGTCCACCCAGGATTCGGTCTCCGATCCCTCGTCCAAGGTCCCCCAAGTACCCCCTTCTTCTCTAATGCCCTCGCTAAGTCGGGTAGGTGTGTCTCTCTATCCCCCTCGCCCCGGTGCCCGTATCACAACTCTCCTCTCCCCCAAGTCCCGAACCGGTGCCGTTTGAGAGTCTCGCTCC